TGTAGCTGATGAAACATGGTGGTAGCAGCATTAGGGTGGGGGAAGGGCTTTATTTAACAGCTACAGGGAAGCTGTTAGGAGCTGCTGGGAAGATAGATGGAGCTAAAGCAGAGCTGTCCAAACTATTCGCCTGCTCTGCATGTTTGTAAAAAAAAAAAAATCTGTAAATGATTGCAGATATGTAAAAAGTGAATATTTATTTTAAATTTAAATAATTGTTTCTTTGTGAATTTGATTGCCATGAGGAAAAGAACATGGGTCATTTTTTCAGTGATGCTCGAATTTTGCCACTTTTAAAGAGCCGGCGCGTCTAGATCTGCTTCCGAGTGAAAGTTACTGAATCTTTACTATCATCATTACCATTAAATAAAATGCAAAAAGACCGACAAGACAATGACAAATTGCTTAAATTATATTTGAAATTGTAAATTTTTTGGTGAAAGCTTAACTGTCTGCTTTCCCAGAATTTTTGAAGCGGAACAACCTTTTTACAAGACTTTCACTTTGAAAATGTAAATCCTGGAAATCCTGTGGAGGATTAAAATAAACTGGAGTAAAAGTTCAGCCTCCTGTAGAACAATGACCTTAAACTCACAGCCACGGCTACATTGGTACAGTTTATGACATGTAAAAGTCTCAGGATAATAGCTCCAGAGGACTGGCACTTTGCACCCCTGGATTAGATCAAACACAGTCCATGTCTTAGAATGAAAGGAGAGACCCGATTTCAACCAGGAATCTGCGGAAATGAACAAGGACACAATTCTTCTAATCTTCAAAGAACAATTGGAAAATATTTCAGTTTAAAGTTGTTTAAAGTTGGTAGAAACATACCCCAAAAGATTTTCAGTAGATATTCTAAAATGTTATTTAACGAAAGTCCTAAAAATGACCAATTAACCTGTTGTAAAAGGAATAAAACGCACATTTCTATGTTGGTAAATTTCAGTATATTACATTAAAACATCTAATGCATTAGACCCCTCTCCCCCTCTTCTCTCTCTCTCTCTCTCTCTCCTGAAGAGGCACACTGATGAGAAAGGTAGCAAAGACCAAAGACAGACATGTATAAATCAAGAAGGCGAACTACAACAAGCCCAAACAAGACCATTTCTGGATGTCTTTTGCTGTCTGACAGTGACCTCTTCACATGGGGCGAGCCGGCAGATTTATACTGGCAAGAAAGTGAAAGACAAAGGAGGGGAAAAAAAAAAAAAAGCTTGTCGTTTGTCTTTTCCATCTGTAGGCAAAGCTGGTTTTCATCCATAACGTTGAATTGGTAGCTCTGAGGTTTGTGCAGAAGCTTTATTGCAGAGCTGAGTACACCCATGCACGGCTCTTAGGTAACACATGGTGACCACGTTCAGGTTCATGCTCAAAGTTTGACCCCGAGGCGAACATTAATCTTTGCAAGTCACTGCCTGCCCTCACAACAGAGCCATTATAAAAAGACTATTTTATAGAATGTAATAACCAAGAACAGCTGCAATAAAAAAGGAAAGACTTACTGTAAGTTTTAGTGTTTTCTTTACCTGATTATGCAGCTGGGAACACATGAAAAACAGGGTAATGTAAATTCTTCAATTAACTTTCTTCCTGTTAGTTTGTATCATAAAATAAAAAAGAAAGGGTTTCATCTTTTTTGCAACCTTAAGTTTACAAATTAGGATTTAATTGCAGTTTTTCAGCAGTGGTAGCATCAGTAATGTACTGTGGTTTTACATGATTCACAGAGACAAGGAGACTTCTGCATCCCTTTAGAATACAGATAGAATAATACTGTTTGAACCCAGTTTCTGTAATAATCGGCTAATTACTATCCTGAGACTGAAGCCCTTCGATCAATCTACCACATAATGTTGTTTACCAATCTAAATATAACAACAAATAGATAGCAACAAAAAAAAATAAAGACAAAAAACAAAAATAAGAGGAGGATCTTCGGATATAATGCAGTGTAAAAAACAAACAAAAAAACTAAAAAAATTGCTGATCACAACTACCGGCTAAGCTAAATCCAAGGCCAGCCTGGTTTTTAGTTACAGCAGACAGTTAACTGGAAGAATCAGTAAAGAAAACACAACAGTTATTATTTTAAAGCAGTTGCAGCATTTCTTGGCCTCACTTCCAAATAAATCAGACTAATTAGATTAGATTAATGGTTTCCCTTAATTACACAGCTGAGATAAAACCCCTTGCTGATATATTGACCAACCTCCAGGTGGATAGTGAGGAGGTGGGCTGAGAAGGAAGTCCATCTTGTCCTTTATGTCGTCTTCGTTCTCCTTCTCCCACTGCAGACCGGCTTGTCTCCACAAATCAGCTGCTAACAGTCTGCAACAGTTGGAAAAAAGATCAGATTCAACTTCCAGTTTAAAGAAGATTTATAATACAACCCTTTTTTCTCTCAGTTCAATCACATATATGTTGATATTCATAGTAAATAACGACTTTGAAATTAAGACTTCCAAGAGAAACCCTGGTTGGTTCCGTCTGGACAGACGTTTCTCTTTGTCCCTATTATTTCTTTGTCTTTCTTATAATGCATCCAAGACAGTTGGGTTATGCTGAGCTACTTTCTGTAGTTGTGCTGCTATCTATGTGCTGCTGTTTAGGCTGCTGGAGCACATAAGGAGCACTTTTCCTCACTCTCCTTCATCCTATCTCTATTCTACCACTCTTCAGTCAAATTCCACTCATAACTTTGCTCTCTCTGATTTTTCCACTAATACATAAGGGC